CCCAGAGTATGCCACACCCACCCCTACAATCGCCTAGAATCAATGGCCGCTTTATCTTATTAGCCATGCAAATGTATTCAGATGTTATGTCACACCACATCAACCCCTACAATCGCCTAGAATCAATGGCTGCCTCATCTTATTAGCCATGCAAATGTATTCAGATGTTATGTCACATCACATCAACACCGACAGTTGCCTAGGATCAATGGCCGCTTTATCTTATTAGCTATGCAAATGTATTCAGATGTTATGTCACATCACATCAACACCGACAGTTGCCTAGGATCAATGGCCGCTTTATCTTATTAACCGTAATCAAGGGTAGTCAAAAAAGAAGGCTAAAGTTTTCCTTGTACATGACAATATTCTGACAGTAATATTTTTACTAACACGCCTTTCAGCTGATATATCTGTTCACTATCAGGAACAATTTCATACATCGATCGCACAGAGCACAAAATCTGGCTTAACTTTGGTAATGGCCGCAGTCTTAAACAACAGATTGGTTCACAGCAACAAATATACAAGTGTCAACTTAACTGCAAAATATCATACTGTAAAATAATTTATTTTAGCTTGAATTAATTTTCGCTGAAAAGATTTTTTGGGTGTTTTGTATGGAATTTATTTTCACTGATTTCTGACGAGTTGAAAGTAAAACATAGGAAAAAAAGTATATTCGCTGAATTTTATTTTCATTGTATCATTCCTTCAGCTGAAATTAATTCTAAACGAAAATAAAGTATTTTGCAGTAGATCTTTCGATTCTCATAAGCCATATATCGTAAACACATAAAAATGAACATTGTAATTGTGTAATCGTACCTTTGATGCATAATTTCTGATAGTGAAGTTCCATCTATAGGAGCAATGTTGTGTTCTAAACAATCCTTGATCTGAGGGAGTAATCAACAACAAATTATGGTGAATAATGAGAGTAATTAACCAGTAAGCTATTGCCACTATTGTATATAATAATAATAATACATGTATTTGAGTTAATAATTAGTTCATATCCATGTTAGAATGTCAAATAATGTTTCTTAATTCTCAAAATTCAAAAAATGTACTTACCATGGTTGGAATCTGGTATGTAATCAAAAAATGGGCAGCATCTCGTACCACTTGCTTCTGTCGGACTAAATATTCACCCTGCAGAAATTAAAAAGAAAAACAGGTTTGGTGTACTCTTTATTAAAAATCAAAGAACAAGTTTTGCTAGACTATTTTTTATTTGGAATTATATCAGCGAAAATTCGTAAATAGATTTTCTTCTTCTAGATTATTTCACTTTAATTGGTTGATTTGCAAACAAAATTTCAATAATAGGTAATTGCCATCCACTGAATGATGAACACATTAATATATTGCCGTGGCAACACATTTTGTAAAACCATTGAAGCATTCTGCCTCACAGTTAGGACAAGTTTGGTTGGATTTTAAGTGCATATATATATAACATGGCAAATTAAATTTATTTAGCAATAGTAGTTTCAATGTATAGGTGGTTAGGCTCAGTTGATTCTGTTGACGGAACACACTCATGAATTGGATACTGCATACATGTGGGAAGAGTGTAAGACTGACCTCTGGGTCTGTGTGTTTAACACCGGGTGAGAAAACATCGGGGTTAAACCGAACATCAAATTCTGTATCACTAAGAGAGCCAGCTGCTCTGGACGCTGTCAGCACTATCTCTTTTTGATTTTGGTCATCTGAAAGGATCAAAGTAAACAAGATTATAATTATATGATAAACAATGTACCTTATGCAAGAAAGAAGTGGCCTGAATTGAATCATCAAACAAATGCATGTGCAAACGTGTGACAAGGTGCATGTATAAAGTTACAAAATGGCTATACTTTCGAATTTGACCAGAAAAACAAAATGATGTGCATCATGGTCACAGTGTTCAATGCATGCGTGATACTGTTAGGTGATGTGTGTACCATGTTTGAACTAAATCGATCGATATGTGACCGAGATTAATTTTTGGGATGATAAAAGAGCTAAATTACAATGATTTTTTAGTACATAAACAGCTTGCATTCGGCTATCTTGAATCTGATCATTGTATGAATGAGTGTGCACATGCATCTGACGGCGTGCAATGTATGTGCACAAATTTGAAAAAGATCAATCAAGGCATGTTCTGTGGGACAGGTTCCTGTTTTCAAACTGCATTCAAACTTTGACAAAACAGTAGAATGTAAGAGTATGTGCTGCCAACCTAGTTACATTATTTGTCCATACTAAATATAAAATTGTTTGGCATACTGTGTGCTTCCTTTGCATGTCACGTGATCAACAGAATGGATAGTGTGTGAGCTGGGTGGCATTGCCATGTGTGCTAGCAGATCATGATATCATTTTTATTTTGTCGGTTTCTAAACCATGTATGATTCCACATGAATGACGGTCATGAGAGTACAGCACAAACCAAGATTTGTCTCCGACATAATCACAGTAATAACAGAATTAAAATCATGTAAAGCCTTGTTGCTACATTACACACCTAAAAGTGGTTCAACACAAGCAATAAAGAAATGTCTTACATGTGTCTATACTTTCTGCCAATTCTTTCGCGGCAATTTCCACTTCCTGATT